ATTTAAGAAAAATATTTCGAAACATTGAGAAAAAAATAACCAAGAAGCTTGTTGCATTGAATATCAATTGGTAGCGATTCCTGATTTACCATTATTCTAATAAACTGAAAATATCAGACTTTTCGAAGAATTTCAACCCTTTTCTTTCAGTATTATTAAAAAATCAATAACTTTAATAAATTATAAATTTTATAATTTTATAATGAATGACAAAAAACTTTAAAAAATGGGTTAATTCGTAAAATCTTTTTTTCATTTCCAAAGACCTAATTTAAACTGATAACCATTAACTAAGAAATAAGAACGATGGCAGTAATCGACTTAAAAACCAAATTAATAACAAGAACGAAAGCCGACCGTATTTTAATAATTGTCGGTTAAACTTTCGGTACTGGCCTTTGGAGATTTTTTGGAAGACTGAAACAGTTTGTAAGGATGTAAAAGGGTTTGGATTTATGAATTTCTATTTCGAAAAAAAAACATCCGTCAGTTGGATTATTTTGAAAGTGGTGATTTTTTTCATGATAACAAAAATCCGGGTGGTTGCTGGGGACCCACTCGTAAGTCCATCCCCAAGTGACTCTATGATAAAAGGATCTGATTTCGGTAGTACAAGCAATCCGGGCCGAGTAAAATGATTCCAAGGCTAGTGAAAAAGATGTGTTCGCAAGCCAAGGTGGTTGCTTGAAACCCGTTAAAAGAAACGAGAAACTGTCAGTCGGCTCTATGCACGCGAGGCGAAATTTGACCATAGCATCTTGGAATGTGGGAATACTTATGGACATTGCAAGCCAAGTAATTACTATTTATATTCTTTCTAAATATCGTGCGGAAGTCGCCTGCTTGACGGAAGTCCCTCTTCCTCATTTCCGGTTTCGAGCAATTATTGAATAATCTAGCTGCGAGCGGACGTATTGGCTCTATTTTATCTATTATTGTGGTGTTTCGATTAACTCGGGGCGAAATAGTTTAACAAGCTATTGAAAAGCACACTCCGCTCTGATTGAGTGGGAACGGGTAAATGATATAGCTTATGCTCGCTTTAAAGGAAATATTCTGCGATATCTCGATAATCAGTGCTTCAATTTTCAGCAGATGACCATGACAAGGATAAGTTCCGTGTGGAGCTTCAACCGCTAACAACAACTTTACCAAAATATAATATGAGACAGAGACTGGAATGCGTAGGTCATAATGTTGCCACGATGAATTTAGTAATTGGCAAATATGGCATTAAAGTTCGTTGTGTCCATAGAGAAGCCTTCTTCACTTTGCCGAAGAATATGAATTTTTTGTTACTTATACAAGCTTCTGGCATCGTGACATCTAATCTCGTAGGACTCTTCGATAATGAACACCTCCAAATTGACTACTTCCTAGTCATTCGTTGTTGGAAGAGTTCAGCAATAGATAGTCATTCCTATCGCAGCGCTGAAACGAGTGATCTCCATGGATCATATTATGGTTCCAGCCAAGATTTGCATAAAATTGACAATTTGCAAAAAACGACATCTTTTAAGATTTTTTCACTATCTCCAACTAAAAGATTCGGAGGCAGTTGGCGTATTTCAAAGCGAATTATTGAAGCACCTCAATGAAAACTAGTAATATTTTTGAAACGCAGATAAATATTGGTCTAAAACATTGTCTTCGAAAGTCAGCCATTTCTACATAGGATTTACTAGTAGAAAATGCGTTTATTGGCTATCGGAAGCAATTATCCAACTGTCTGGAAAGGCTGCCAAAGCACAGATATCTGGAGATTTTGACTATCAGAAGCATTTCGAAGAATGACAGCAGCTCGGCTGGACGAAAATCATTATTTTAGTGATATGGTCTGGAAACGGCGGCTCAATTAGACGATAGTAAGGACTTATTCAGCCTTCTTCACAAAGCAACTATAATCCGGGAAACGATCGGTGAAATGGTATGGGATGTGCCTATTAAGACTACTGAGGATTATCTCTCAAGATGGAAGGAATTTCTTGAGGCCAAACTTAACTAAGATGTGCCATCTCTTGTTCCGGATAGCTGATTTGCTCGTTGAACCATATATTTGCAACTGCAAGCCGCTGGCAGAACACGAAATAATCTCATCCAGAAGTTCATTCAGAAGCTTAAGGCCAGGAAAATCTCTGGGAAGATGGCTTCTGAGCCGATTTTTCAAATGTTGTCCGTCGTTATCTTTAATAAATGTTATCTCTGGTATGGAAAAAAGAAATAATACCAAATGACTGGAGCAAAGCTTTCAAATTCCTAAGAAAATGAGAGGACATACTGTGATAATTACCAAGAAATAAGCCTATTAAACATCTAGAAAATTTCCGCTTTCCTCCTACTAGATAGATTTATGGTACGAGACAGCAAGATGCACTAGAGTCAAGGTGAATCCAGACAGGAACGTGGTTTTGCTCACCAGATATTCACGTTAAGGATATTGGAACATCATTTCAAATGCAGGTAATCCACCATCTTGTTTCATCGATTTTTTTTAGCTACTTTCGATTCAACTGATAGAGCAGCACTTTGGAGGGAATATTCCAGAGAAGACTCGACACATTTTATCAGCGTACATCGGTACAGGTTTGTGTATATGGAGAATGGACTCTTTCGAAATAAGAACTAGTGTTCATCAACTCTATATCCTTTCTTCTATAGTATTCAAACTATGTGATAGACTGGGATAATGGATATTACTTGTCGGCACTCAAGAGGTGTATAAATCAACCCAGAACATCGTATCACAGATCTCTAATACGCTGATTATGTAGTCTTTTTTTTTTCTTTTGACGAAGTGCAAATAGTGCTAAATAATGTGTGGACATCTGCAGCGAGAATTGGCACCAGGATCAATGTAAATAAACCTGCTTAGTTTTTTATCTTATATTGAAAAAGCTGGTAATGTACCAATTTTTATCAATTGTCCGGCTGAGAAAATGCCAGATTTTAAGTATCCTGAATTCACCCTTTCACCCCAAATGGCACAGCAAAAGATGAAATCAGAACTCGGATTAACGGTAGCTAGAAATGCATTCTTCCGGTTGACGAAACATTTATGGAGCTATCTCGTAATAATCGAAACGAATATTCGCGTCCATATAGCTACAATTCGCTCGTTCTTGCTATGTGGCTGCCGATGAAATCGAGGATATCAAGAAGTTATCGTTCTTTGACCACTTATATCTAAGATACATTTTATGGATTTGCCAAAAGGATAAAATCTCACATGATCAACCTTCACTCAAATACTACCTGCACTTACATTAACATTACCACCATAGAGCGCCCGCCTTCGCTGCATAGGACACGTTCTTCGTTGCTCAAAGGCACATTTTTCTAAACCCTATGACGAAGTGCATCAAAAGAAAGAAGAGCAATTAAGGCTTTGACTGGTACAGTCAAGAAATATTTTGTGTAAAATTAAGGATTGTGTAAAATTTTGAACGCCTACGTACACCAGCGATATATGGATTTGGACGATGGAAAAAGGGACGCCTTCTCTTTAGCGACTACCTTGAACCGAATAGTTTGGAGACATTTTGCTAGCCGAGCCAGTACAAGCAGTGATGGTTAATATTGTTAGATGAAAGTGACATTTACGACACTCCTTATCGTGGGATTTTTAATTAGTACTTTTGTGTGACACTTCGAATTGATTTTTATAAAATAAAAAATGAATTTTTACATTCTGTTTTGCAACTTGGAGTAATCCTCTTTTAACTCCGTTACGTGGCAGAGCCGCTCGAAGGAACCATTTGAAACCACTTCTGAGGAACCACTTCTGAGGAACCATTTAGTTTCTGTTGATAGCTACTGAGGTAATCTCATAACAATTTTATGCTTAAGAAGAGTCGACTTTTTTCGATCTCCCCGTTTTTTAAAATTTTTGTGTTTTCGTGTTTTGTAGGGTTTACAAAATTATTTTCGATTTGATGTAGTTTTTTGAAGAATTGATTTTTTATTTAATAATTAATTACAAACACCGTAATTTTTTTGATAGAGATCAGATTGTCATTGAAATTTTTTTCAGAGAGTTTAAATTTCATGATCTAATCTGAGGTAATCTAATCTTTATTTGTGAAATACTTCAGGTTAATCATCTTGCACATTTTCTTCTTATCAGTCGTTTCCTAGAATTAATGAAGATAAATGCACCAGCAAGAATTATTCTTGTCAGCAGCCCTCTTCATAGTTGGTAAGTAAACTCATCTAGTGATGTTATATATAAGTTTAATGCAATGTTTGTATGATGGGAATATCTGATTTATTCAATATTTGTCAATATTGTTCAATATTGTTATGTTGTATAACGCGTTATTTTCTTTGCAAGTACACATAGCGCTGGAATAGCCTAGTGGCTAAGGCTGACGATTAATATTGAATGTAAACCATTCGGATCGCAGCCATCCCTCCCTACCTTTTTGCTGAGTGTCCTTGAACAAGACCCCCTGAAATATCTGCCTTACCAGTGCCAGTATATCGGCCCTCTGGTAGAGTACATGAGATTGAGGTTAAGCTTCTATCACCAATAGGAGATAGAAAGGGATTTTGCTTTAACAGTAAGTTGTATAGTAAATGTATACATTATTCATTGATAATCAAGAATAAAATTCGTTATATTTGAATAAATATTGATTATGCCTTTAGTGATTTTTTTGATGAATTTGTAACGATCTTTCGAATAATCATTTAAGTCTTTCGATAAATTCGCTAGGAGATTTTCATTAGTCAGTAGAAAATTTACCATTCTATCGACATTATTCTAAGTTCATTTGTCTATTGAACTTTCAAGGGTTGCATAAGCTGAAATGCATTTGATTCAATTACAGTTACTTTGATTCAGTGTTTATACTTTTAAAATGGTTCTGCAAATATTAAATCCTCTAGCCGACAAGTGCGAGTGGCATTGTTGTTTCTTATTTTAATAATGATTGCAGTATTTGTTAGGCTAATTTCGTAGAAATAGAATAATCTGTTAAAAGTTCCATTAGAAATTAGGCCTCTAGTTGAAAATTTTAGGGATTCGATTGATTGGGATGATATTATGGCTGAACGACAATATGATAAATATTTGCAATTTTCTCGTACAAAATTAATGAATCATTTAACGGCGTTTGCATTGCACCATGTTCTGCATCGAAATAATTGTTGTCTTCAAGTAACATCAAATGTTGTCGAATTGAATAAACTAGAATCTCGTATCAAGCGAAGAGAAAGGTTTTTTCCTAAAAAAAAAATCATGATTATTATATCATGATTAAATCATGATTTCTAGTATATACAGAATTAGATTTAACTTATAACACTTGTTAATTTTTCATCTCTTAATGTGTGGAATTTTTCGAAAAAAATTAGATGTTAAGGAAATGGATGGGGAAATAGTCGTTTCTTATCATGAAGTATTATAAAATGGATATGAATTTAGATCGAGGAGTACTTCAATATCATCATCAGATACAACGCTGACGTTAAGTAGTGATGTAGGTATTCTACTTAATATGGTTGAATCAGAATTATTGGAAGGAGTCAGTGGAAAATATTTTGATTGTCGTGGACGGCAAATAAGAAGTGGTGCTGTAGCAACTGATGAACGAACACAGCAAAAATTATGGAATTATAGTAGAAATCTTTGCAAAAAATTTTCGCTTTTGAAGTAAAATACCAAAAATTATCGAGTTGTGTAAAAAAATTTTTTTTTATAGAGATTTCGTCAAATTAATTGCTGAATTTCGAATAGCTTAGGTCGATTGGTTTAAAAAATGAGATCTATAATTTTATCTATAATTTATATCTATAATTTTTTTGTGTTTTTTAGGATTGTGGCTCAGTGGCATATCACTAGATTTGACATTTCGTAATTGTAAGTGAATTGTAACTGTTAATTTTAATCATTGTTGGGTTATTGAAATCTCTTCATTGCAAGTTTTATCCACGATAAGCCTTGTTTGAATTGTCTATATTTATCCAGCAAATTTTTTATTTTTGTTCAATACATTTCATTTTACTGACATTTTTTATTTAATTACATCTTTCTTAAAACTAAGTATTGTTAATAATTATGGAATTATGAAATATTGTTTACTTGTATATGTGATAATCATATAGATGAATTTAAGAAACTAACTGAGCCTTATTTCAACCGTTTTATTATATAATTTTTCTAAATTTTATTTGGAAATTTTTTTGCGAACCATTTTATTATATTATAACAGAAAAATGGAAATAATTTGAAACGATTTGAAAAAACTGCACGTATTATTTGTATATATAGAAATACTTGTTAAATAAATATTTAAATAAATATCAGAGAAAATGCTAAAATATTTAGGTATTTCAGTTTAATTTTTTTGCAGTCTGGTTGTTTTTTTACTTAGTTATTTACTATTTTTAATGAGGTCAAGAAAATTCATTGAATAATAATGCCATATCCTATTAGTTCTTTTTTTTTGATCTAATCAAATTTAGTTTACCAATGATTTCACGTGAAAAATAATTAGGTGATTTGTAATGGTAAATTTGCAGGTGAATTATGTTGCGTCTTTCATATTGACAAGAAAATTAATTCCACTTCTCAAAAAAAATAAACCATCAAGCATTCTAATGGTCAGCAGTATTTGTTACAATTGGTTAGTATTACAAAATTAAGTCGGCAGGGAGACAGGAACTTTGATGTCATTGAACAGGAAAATTTTCTAAAAGCAGCTTTATGTAGCATTTTTTTCAGGCATTCTATGGACTGGAGTGATTTGGAGAGTAAAAAGAGATATGAAAAGTATGAGCAGTATTCGCGCACAAAATTGATGTTGCACATGACTACATTCAAATTGTCTCGTATACTCGAAAATTCTGGTGTAACATGTAACGTACTTGAACCTGGCGTTATAGAAACAAAGTTGCTTCGGTTAATTTTATTTTTTCTCAGCAGTGACAGTGATTATTAGGCGTTTAGGTGACTCTTTCGCCTGGGGTAGAGTTTCCTTTTTTACGACTCATTTATTGTTGTATTGATTCAAGAGTAGGAATCAAACCTTTGCTGTTAAGTCATAAGAATATTCACCAATCTTGGCTCGCTACGCTGGTTTCTCGGACCAGGTAAATTTTGCTGAGGAATTTCATAACGACAGAAATGAAAGACAGATGCATTCTTTCCTTGAGTAAAACTTGTTGCTACTTGACGTTATTTCAGTCACCACTGCATTCACGAATGTAATGAGTCACGAATATAATATATTCCAGGCAAATGTTTTTAAATAAATCTGGTTGCTTACTGAATCTACAAGACAATGTTAATTTTTTAGTGCTGGTGGCTATCATGGAGGTCCAGTCACGGCAGGTTCCCGTTCGGCTGTATTCCTTATTCAATCTGATACAGCGAATAACTTAAATGGCGCCTATTTCGATAATATTGGGAAACGAATCACGAGCTTAAGTTCAGAATCGACTGATGTTAATCTGCAGGAGCGTCTTTGGCAGTTTACGGAACAATTATGTGAAAAATTCAATATTACTTTTGAATAATTGTTTTGAACAAAAGCAGCTGAACAAACATTGGTTTTTATTCTGTTTCATTTCTTTTCATATTACTTTTTCTTTCTTTCATTGGTTAATCACTTATATCACCGTTTAGTAATTTAGTTATTTTTATTAACAACTTCTTTTGAGAAATTTTGCTCCAGTTTATGTTTTATATTTTAAATTTTTGTTAATATTAAAAAACTATTAATGTTAATATTAAAAAAGTTCTGCAGTTTATGTTTTATATTCTAAATTTTTGTTAATATTAAAAAATTAAAACTTATTTCGAATAAATATAAATAAGATTTTCCATATCTTTTTCATACTTCTATTACAAGATGCTTTTACAGTAATTAATTGGTCCTTTGCATGGTCTTGACTTCCGTATGGTAATTTATTCGGAAATATCAGGTTTTTTCACAAATTTTTGAGATGGGATATTACGGTAAAAACTAATCACAATCGTTAATTATAAGTCTATTGAAAGATATACAGCTAATGTTCATAGATGTATAAATAAAAAATACACGGGAAAAATGTTCATAAATATATGGATAATACTTGTTAACAAATGCGTAATCGAAGAAAATAACAGTGCTACGATGAAAACAATTTTTCGGCTGTTCACTGTTTAAAAACAAATGTTTTAGGGCCTTTTATGTTTTAGGATTTAGCAATGAATTATTATCGGTCGCTTCTTTACTGGAAGCATTTATTATTAAGAGATGCGTGAAATTTTGGTATAAAGTAGAGAATATTATTTAATACAAGATTTAGAATTTGTGGACAGGGTGGCACCATTTTATCCAAAAGAAGGCAATATAAATTGCGAAATAGGGTATGAGGTGAAAAGCGCAAGATACTATAATTAATAATATTAAGTATAGACAAACAAAAGAATATATTCATACCAATGGAATTTGATGAATATTTATGTGACGTTGATTTTGAAGAAAGCTTGGATGAGCCGAAATACATTAGGACAACGCAAATGAAGTTCAAAGTGGTAAGTGCTTACATTTTTCATTTTTCTTGAATTCGGAGTATTTCGTGTTTTTGTATTACCTGGTATCCAGATATCCAAGATAGGTCAAGAGGACAAGAAAAAACAAAGAAATAGTTTTAAGGCTTCGAGCTAATTGACCAAAGGTACGTATAAAGCAAGAAAAGCTAAAGAAATGGAACCATTTCTGAGAATCACAAAATAAAAGAATGTAATATGTATGGTGTATGTGTATATGATATGTATTTAAATATTTTCAGAAAGGTGTTTCAAGGAAGTGGGAAATGGTACTGGGTCATGATAGTGCTGCTTGTGTGCTTTATCATAAAAATAAAAAATCCTTCCTCTTTGTCAGACAGTTTAGACCAGGTATTATTAATTTATTAACAAATGCAGTCTTTGTCCATATTTATGCAGTATCTTCACCTATTCAATCTTCTCTACAGCGTTCGAGTGATTATTCATGAGATATTATTAGCATCATAATGACCTCCAAATTTAACTTCCTAAGACTGCTAACTTCGGGTTATCATAATCTGAATAGCTGAATCACTACCTATTTATTTTAGCTGTATTTGTCGCTAAAATTAGATCGATGCCTGAAAACATAAACAAATCGCTGAAAGAAATAAATTGGACAACATACCCAATAAATATTGGTAAAACAATTGAACTGTGTGCTGGTATCATTGATAAACCAAATCTTGATGCAAAAAGACACATCCACGAAGAAATTATTGAAGAATGTGGCTACAATGTTCCAATTGATAGTATAAAACATATCAAGAAACTTATGTAATAATGATGTTTTAGCTTTAAATTTCCATGAGTTAGCAAATCGCCAAAAAAATGAAATAAAGCATGGTAAATATTAATCACATACGAGAATGCGAGAAATCAAAGAAGATTAGATACGAATTAAAAGCAATTTAAAAAGCTTTTTTTGATTAAAAACCACATTTTGAAAAGCAGTCATAGGTTATGACTTACCTGCTACTACCATCCTTTGCAAATTCATCTCTATTTGCAATTTGCAGAGCAGGCGTTGGTTCATCGGGTAGTCAACAAGATATATTTTTTGCGGAAATTGATGAATCGATGAGGGTTAGTGACGGTGGCGGAATTGGCGAAGAAAGTATTGAAAAGGTATTTCTATGCTGTGAAGCTTTCTATTTTTTTTGATTTTTAATTTTTGATTTTTTATTGGTTCATATTAAATAGCAACGACACTAAAACACCATGAAATTCAAATAAATTCAATTTATTTTTGGAGGCTTTCAGAAATAAAACTGTTCAGTTCGCTGAATAATTTTGCGCCCACTTTTAGGTTTGGATGACTCTAACAGAAGCGACAAAGTACTGTCAAGAAGAATTTTCATCAAGTCCAGCTGGTCTTCTTTATGGCGTTTTATGGTTTTTTGCCAATTATGACAATGAAAATTATCATGGTTATTAATTTGAAATTTGAAATTAAAATTATCATGGTTAATTTTTTTAATAAAAGAAATTTTAATCAACGATGATGAAATGACTTTTATCAGTAGATTTCAATAGATTAACCATCCTAACTTAAATTTTTAAAAAAAACTTTCTGAATACGGAAATATAATAAGAAGATCAATAAGATACTAGTTGCTAGTTTTTATAAGTTCTGTCAAAGTTAAACTGGCCTTCAAAGGTCCTTCATTTTATATGCCATTAAATAAATTTTAATGCAATAAAGTATCAAAAACCAATAAGTCTACATGTTTTTGTATTTCATTTACAACATCACGTAATTTAATTAGCTCTTCTCGTGGCATTTCATAAATCTTGAGGCCCTGATCAGTGAGTAATTCCAAAATGAGCTTTGCTTCCGACATTTTCGGAATTTTTTTCCTAAAATTGCTGGTTTGTTTTGATTATAAATCATCAGTTTTTTGAACTTGTTTATTTTTTCAAAATTTCGAAAAAATTTTTCGAATTCAAATGAATCCAGAAAAATCCAAATATTTTTGAATTTTTAAATTTTTAAAGTTGGATTTTTAAAGGCTCTTTTATTTCTTGATAAAAAATATCGACCGATTTCGTCACCGACAAATTGAAAAAAAATAGAAAGTCCAATAAAACGTGAAGTTAAGATAAATATAAAGATAAACGTAAAGTAAACGTAAAGACAACAAACCGCGCCATATCCAATCGTATGGTCCAGTTTACATCAAGCAGAGTTGGAATTCCTGAATTAGAGATTTCGCAGAAACGTTCACATATGTATTCACCGAATTCCGTCCAATAATCGAGAAACATTTGAACCAGTGATTCAGACAAATTTACCTAGAATTACTGACCTTCAGAATCCAAAAATTCAGAAAATTTATTTTTATAAATCTGCAAAAAAACTGCGCCGAAACATATGAAAATAATATTTCAAAAGGCTTGGAAATAATTTCTCACCAAATTTAAAGATTTCTTTAATTGCTCTCGCTGAGGTTGGCTGAAAATTATTTGACGCCATATTTCAGCAATAGACAATACCTAAATATCGCATTTATGATAATTATTTTAATAAAAAAATATTCGGCACAATAATCTTTTTACTTTTCACCATTTAATGTTTTTATCCAATTTTTCCTTTGCTGATTTTTTTCGGTGCATACGATGCCGGCGAGACTTAATTTTTTTATGCCATTTCTTTTTTTCTTTTCATGTCCTTCCTCGATTTTTTCATCTATATTTCGTCCATTGGCGGTCTATTTTCTTCTAACAACTCTCACCATTACTGGTTAGGCTGGCTCAGCTGGGTCCAAGGGTAAGACGTCTCCAAGCTGCTTGGTCCGAAGCCATAGCTAGTAGTAATAGAAGCCATTCCTTTTTCCATTGTCTAAGCCCATATATCGCTAGTCTCCTAAAGCTTCAAAATTTTTCCTAACTGTGTCAGTCCAGGTTTTGACCGATCCTCCTCGCTTTTGATGCCATCCATCACAGAGTTCGGCATGTGGCGAAATATGTGTTAAGTGGTGGACGACGGAAAACCCTACCCTACCCTACCCTACAGAACCCTAATCCTACCCTACAGAAGGCGACGCTCTGTGATAACACTGTTCATGCAAATGCTGTTAATGCAAATGCTATCTGAATGAAGGTGGATGTGATCATGTGATATTTTATTCGTTCAACGGATCCGTAAAATATGACTTAGACATGAGTGGTCAAAGACTAAAAGCTTCTTAATATTTTCCACTCTCATTGGCCATGTTCTGCAGCCACATAGCAAGATCGAGCGAACTGCAGCTATATGGAGGTAGATTTTCGTCTTTATGATGATTTCGTAATGATTTCATAAAGGTTTCGTCAACCGGAAAAATACATTCCTAGTTGTTGTTATCCGGGTTATAATTTCTTCCTTTCCCTGGCCATTTGGAATTAGAGTGGATCCAAGACATTTAGAGTCGGATACTTCCTCAACTGGCAATGAATTGATAAAAATAGCTATTTCATCAGTATCTTGTATATGAGCTGAAAATATTTTCATTTTATTTATATTGATTTTGAGTCCAATTCTCGCTGCACTTCTTGACACATTATTTTTACTTCTTTATAACTGTCAACGAAAAGGACTACATCATCAGCGTATTCAAGATCTGTGATGCTATGTTCTGGACTGATTCGCACACCTTTTGAGTGCCGATAAGCAATGTCCATTATCCAGTCTATCACATAGTTAAATATTGTAAGGGAAAGGACGCAGCACTGTCGGACACTAGTTCTTATTTCAAAGGAGTCTGTCAGTTTCCCATATATGCAGATATTCTGTGCTAAGGTTTACTTATAAAGTACCATTGTGAGCCGAATGATCTCTTGGATAAAGCCACATTCCATCACTTTCCAAAGCGCTGCTCTATCAAGCGAATCGAAGTCAGCTGCAAAATCGATAAAGCAAGTGATGATGGGTTGCTGGTATTTGAAGCGATGTTCCAGCACCCTTCTTAACGTAAATATCTAATCAGCACAACCATGTTCCGATCTGAATCCAGCTTGGTTAGGATGCATTCTGCTTTCTTATGTTGTCATGAGTCTATTTAGCAGAAGAGAAGCGAAAATTTTTCCGAAGATGTCCAGTATGCTGATTCCTTTGTAATTGTCCAGTACGTCCTGTCACTTTTCTTAGAAATTGGAAGCAGAATTGCTTTGCTCCAGTCTTCTGGTATTATTTCCTTTTATATTTATTGTATACATATATATATTTATATACATTTGTTGAAGGTGAGTTATAAAAGATGATGGATAACATTTGAAGAGTTCGGCCCAAAGGCCATCTTTTCCGAGAATTTTATTAGCCTTAAGCTTATGGATTACAGAGATTTATTACAGATATTATTTCCTCCTGTTGGCGGTTCACAGTTGCAAACGTAAGGCTCGACGGGCAAATCAATTATATTCGGGACAATAGATGGTGCATCGTGGTTAAGTTTGGCCTCAAAAAATTCTTTCCATCTTCTGATGTGATCCTTAACAGCTTTAATAGGCCCCCTATTAATATCCCGTATCATGTCACTAAGCCTTTCTCGAGTTATAGTTGCTTTGTGAAGGCGAAATGGCTTCCTATTATCACCTATCAGAGCCGCCGTCTCCATTCTCAAGGCTATATCGCTCTTTATATATAATAGCGATTTCTGTCCCGTGCTGCTGTCAATGTAATTCTTCGACGCACCCGATAGTCAGGACCCCATTCAGGCTTTGGAAGCTTTTTCAGGCAGTTGGACAGTCGATTTCGACATCAAAATAGCGCATTTCCCGCTAGTATATCCTAGTATTGAAGTGGCTGACTTGAGGGATTATTCTTATTCTTCCCTCTTCATTTGTTTATTTTTGCTTTTCTTTTTTGTTTGTTGATAAAAATAGCAGTAAAAGTTTTTCTTTTTTTAGAATTTTTATTTTTTTAATTCCCATTAAATTTCTCTTTTTTCAAATTTAGTTATCTTTATCATTGTTTTTTTTTGTCTCTGACAGAAGTAAACCTGTCATGATGTTAAAAATTCAAGTGGCTGCTGAGGATCCACCTATATTTCCATCCTCAAGTGACTCTATGGTGAAAAGGTCAGATCTCATTGGCGCGAAGTCCGCGTCTCCCAAATCACAACGAGCATGGTACTTCACGGCACGGTGGTACATGCAATAAATATAAGATCTAGGCGTAATAATAATAAAATATTTCTGAGGCGTGAGCACAGAACATGCTCACGAACCGAGATAACTACTCAAAAACCCACCAAGGAAGACGAGAATCTATCCGATAACACTTTGTAAGAGTCGCGAGGTGTTAGCTGCTTAAAATGTCAGAACGCTTATGGATTTGCAAGCCAAGCGATCACTGTCCACATCTTTTCTAAATACCGCGTGGATGTGGCTTATTTGTCGGCTCTATAGTGTCCCAAATAACTTGGGGCGAAATGGCGTAGCGATTGCCACGTCTGAAAAGGCTCGATCTGCTCATTTGTCGGAGGTCCGTTTTCCTCATGTCGGCTCTATAGTGTCCCAAATAACTTGGGGCGAAATGGCGTAGCGATTGCCACGTCTGAAAAGGCTCGATCCGCTGTGAGTGACACCCTATATCGGTAAGCCAGTAAATGACCTTATGGCATTCGCGTTTCAAAGGAATATTCTGCAATATTGCGGTCATCAGTGCATATGTTTCAACTTTATGCGCGGATGATCGCGATAAGGATAAGTTCTATGCAGAGCTTCAACTATTAACATCTCGAGAACTAACATGGTCATAATCGAACGAGACTAGAATGTGCGCATAAGTCATGGTGCCATTATGATAAATTCAGTAACTGGCAAATATGGCATTGGGATCCAGTGCGCCAATGGAGAACGCCTTCTCGTTTTGCCGAACAGGATGAGCTCTTTGTTACTAATACATGCTTTCGGCATCGGTGAAGATATCTTAATCAATATCTCAATCAGATTGATTTTACAATGGTCAATCGCTGCTGGAAAAGTTCTGTGCTTGATATTCGGTCCTATCGAGGTGATGAAATTAATAAACGTCATAGATCATAGATCAGACGTTATGGTTCGATCCAAGATTCGCATAAAACTGATAAGTCGTAAGAAAGAACGAATCCAAAGATCTTTAACTATTTCGGACTAAAAGACCCGGGAACAATAAGTGCATTTCAAATCGTATTATTGAAACACCTTAACAAAGTGAATGTCAGTGGCATCTCTGGAACGGTGAATGAATGCTGGTCCCAACTAAAGATATGCTTACAAAAGTCAGCCACTCCAGTGGTGCTATGACCGAATGTGTATTTATTAAATTATCATTTCACGCAGCATAGTTCAGTCTTTGCACAATTAAACCTTAAAAAACCTAAATGATGCTGGAGACCCACATGCACTTTTTATCCAACAAGCCTAACCAAAAATGCTAATTTCAAATTATCCTTTTAACATATTAATTCCACAGCAACGTTACGCATATGCTTTGCTCTACAGTCTTTCCGTCATTACTGCTTTCCCATGGTCTCACTTCTAAGTAAATCTAGCATTATATCACACATTTCTAGTACATCCACATTTTAATGTTCATTTTGACGATTGAATAATTTGAACGAACCAAATTTTTCACAATATTGTCAATGCAGAAGGCATTGGAAAGAAGGAAGATATATGCAGTTCTGCCCCTTTAAGAATCCATTCGCTCGGTGCATATATAAAATGTATCTTAAAATGTAAGAGTACAACTGTACCTCAGTTGTTCCTCCTTGCCTTTAATTCCATTCATCATAAGGCTCAGGAATGAATTGAATTCATCCCGTATATTTAAAGTAGAATTAAACAAAAAGTATATTAACGAACCAAAAGGTGAAATTTCGAAAGATCAATCTCTAAATTACTTAATATTTCTTCGATTTCAGCTGAAGTGAAATTTTCTAAAATATTTTCCACCGATAAGAGACGCAGTATTTTTTCTGTTAGTTTTGTAAATAGTATTTTATCTATTTTCCCCATTGTTTTTAACATTTCTATCGATTCATTCGTTAACAATAATTGCATATTTTCTATAAATAATAATTTTTTAAAATATTAAAAAAGAAAGAACATTTAAAAAAGGGAAACAGAACTGCGACACTAGTGGGTTCGAATCAGAAACCTATGAAATTTGGTGTCGCATTCACTGTGCTACCACTTTAATTTTAGTTTCAACTTTGATGCCCACTAAAACAAAGATTATTTCAATCATTTTAAATTTTTCTTAAAATTTCAGCACAGATCACCCGTAAAGACGAGCGAATTTCTCTGGTTTTTTTTTCGCAGTCAGTGCA